TATCAAATGGCAGGCTTTATGATAGTTATCATTAGCCCTTTAGTTGACTTCAGGGTTCACAGAGAGAGAGGAACATCAAATTGAAAAAAAGTCGAGAGGGGGGAGGAACAGAAGAGTGTTTTAAAGATGTAAAAGGGACAGACACAAAGGTAGATGAAAGGTGAGATGAGTACTGTGTAAATGGTCGAATATGACATACAGTGGGGTCATGATAGCTTGAACTCAGAAGTCAACTGCCAGTTTATAGACTTTGCCGTATGATTATACGTTGCCCAGGGTGCACCACGAGGAGGTAAGTCTATCGCACACCCCTACTTAAGAACATTGCAGGGAAAAGACTTAAGGCCAGAGTACCATAGCGCGAAGGAGTGTTGCAATCGCCTTCCATTGTGCTCCAATTATTTTTCTTTTTTATGGTTAAGATTTGATTTTTGAATAGGTTTTTGCATCGTACTTCCCCCCCCCCCTCCGTCCCAACATTTATATTTTTAACAACTTGACAAAGCGGATGCTCTTTATTTTGAAATAAATTGCTAAATTGGTAAATGGGTCCCCCTAAATTACCATTGATCCGTCTCCCTCTGCGTTGCTCTCATACTGAGTACTTCCCCTACCCTGTTAACTGACCACAAATTGCCAACAAAGAGGATCAGTCAAGCTCCCTATCGCACCTCATTTTGACCGTTCTATGTAATCCAAATTCTCCCCACCCTCAGCATTGGCAGTAAAATACTGATTTCCAAATGCTATATTGTGCTAATGACCTAGCACATTCTTGACGTCTTGACATCCTTATGAAAAAGTACGTTTGAATTACTTTTAAAGCATTTTGACGTTGTGTTTTTTTTGTTTCCTTTAATTAAGCTCAATTATATGAGTGTCTCGCCTTCCACCGGACAGTTGATCCACTCACGGACTTCCTCATCTTGTTTAAAAGATACCCTGGCAGGATATCCTTATGCGATTCCCCATAGAAACATTTTTCACTCGATTTTTTTGCCTACTAGAAGTGAAATACAATAGCGTTCAACCTCCTTTTTCCAAAGAGAATTGTTTAAGCCCTATCTGCTCCCTATCCTAATGCTGGAGCAAAAGGAGTTACAGCCTTTATTCATAGACTACCGTAGACATATCGAAGACCAACGTTACCTGGATACCTGAATTCTGAAGAAAAGATAACAATGATTAATACGTCAGTTTTTAAAATATTATTCTTAATCCTAACAGTAAACAAGATCTTGTTTCAATGGATCGTAGAGGTAGTTGTTCAATTTACATGATAACGAATGGTTAGTAATTGCTTGAAATTGCCGAAAAATACCAACACCAACTCTTCTATCTAACATTATTAGCGAATAAGAGAAAACTCTTAGCGCCATACATCAAATTTACATGTTCAATCCTTTCAAAAACAATAGTCAGTAAGTTTAAGGCTAAGCGGCTGTTTCTCCGGCTAACTTCGTGAAAAAAAGGGACAAGGAGGTTGAAACACCGGTCAGAGAGGATTCGTTTTACTTTGTTCCAAAGTTCCTTTCAATACACGAGTGGATTTCATGCAAGGGGCATATATAGACAAGACTGGCATCCGAATCAACCTACGCACAACAATGTCTTGGCCCGGGCTATGCTCTTGCAGATTTCACAAACCTCGCGTCTGTGCAAATAGGGGAACAGGAGGTAGTTACTTTATTAATAATGGTATATTCGTGACTCTTGTTCTGAAAAACCGGACCACGCTTACGGTAAACGTTGGAAAGCAGTTGATCATATGGGAATTTCCACAAGGTCAGAAGCAGAGAAAATTGAACCTCTTGCTTAAATTAAACAAAGGTGGTACGGCTTCAGATTACTGCTTAACGGGTTTGTAGATCATATATTAAATCATTGGGTGAAGTTTTAGTTCAACAACTAGGTGGCGTATGAATAACCTGATATAAAACGCAGATAGTGCAAAAACTTTAACTAAGAGAATCAAACACAAAATTGAGTTGAATTACCATAAAGTACTACAGAAATTTGCGAAACAAATTCCGTCGAAATTATTTGAAAATTATAAACGACCAAATCGGAAAAATTAAAAAGAAAATAATAATGAAACATTTTTGTGTTTATTTTCGAGAAAAAAGTAAACATGAAAATTTTACAAAAGGGCGTTTTTACTTCTCAGAACCCTTGGAAGAAGATTCAGAGGTCTTCGGGTAGGCAATTTCCGCTTCCTTAATGAGAGCGTCAACTTCACTCTGGGGACATAATTTTATATACGTTTTATCATCCTTTCGTTGGAGTAGACCGATTTCAAGCTAAGAAAAAACATGTTACTTAAACAGAATAAGTAATAACAAAATCAACATAAACCTTATACCAATGATTCGCTTAAAGTCAAAACGGCCTTGACTAATAAAGCTCATTTAGTTGCTTTATGTAATACGTGACACTGGCAAATACAGATTTATGAAACATTTCATATATAGAGAATGGATTGCTATTAAAATATGAAATGATAACTTTCAAGGCGTGAAAGACAAAAAACAAATTGACGATTGATTTTTCCAGTAACGAATAGGTCTCCGCAAAGCACGTGACTCAATAAATGAAAAAAGAAATTATCACAGAATAGCACCCAAAAAAATATGCATATCTCAAGCCACACAATTGAAATATTAAAGTATCGCAATAACGCGAGTTGCAGACGTAATAAATTTAAGGACAATCCCCAAATTTCAACTCCCTCTCCGCACTATGATAATTATATTACAAATTACATATACTTATCCCACTAAAAACACTAAGAACTGTTTTTCTGTGGTTACCTTATCCGAAGTAAGTTTTGACATTGTCATAGTTTTGTACAGAACCTTGACACAAAGTTTCACAGCTTCTTCAGATGTACAGTCAGGATTGTAATCCGCTTCGAGAATTGATGAGGCTGCAGAAGAATTTGAACCAATACAGGTAGCCTTCCAACCCAAAAAGTTACCCGAAGGATCATTTTGATATAGCTGATACCCGTAATGTTTATCCCAGCCAACGAAAAGCATGGAAACACCAAATGGACGGCGCCCACCATACATTGTATAGCTATGTTGGAGATCGCAAATATGGGTGACCAACTGTTCAATTGGGATAGGTTCTTGATAAGATAGAAGATATCTGGAAAATAGAAAGTTCAATTATCAAATATAAGATAACCAATATGTTCCTAAAAGTCAGTAAAATTTTTTTCATTTAAGAAATAAAAAATGCTATAAGCAGAATAGTGGATTATTACCTTTGTGCAATGAGACGCATTTCTTGGATCAGTACGGTTGCATCTGCTGTAATTCCGGCAACAGCACAAGCTATATCATCACTAATTCTAAAAATCTTTTCTGAGAAGGCAGATTCATCCAAAAGTTTATTGATGAAGCGTTTCTCACCGGCAAGAACTATGCCATCTTTCGCAACGATACCGATGCAAGTTGGGGCATGTCCGACGGCTTCGATTGCATACTCAACCTGATATAAACGACCTATACTTTATTAAAAATAGAAAATTCATAATACCTTCAGGTGAGAAGATTGTTGTTCGAGTGTCATAGCGACGAGCCTAAAATTCCATAATTATCACAAAGGTTACAACCAACCATCTTTAAGCAAAATATTTGAAAATGCACAAATTAAACAATACACCAAAACAATTAAAAAAATACTATAATAAAATACGATCAGTTAAATAAATTAGAGTGTAATCCTAGTATATATGTTTATATAAATGTTTAATTTAGAATATCTTGAGAATCTAATATTTTACCAATATTGCGCTTATTTAGAGCTAGGCAATTTTCAAAACCTTAGTTGGTTTAAATGCAGTAGAAATTTTCCCATAATTTTCTGACTTTCACAATTATACAATAAACTGCAAAGCAAATTGAACAGCAAAATTCTTTTTTCATTTTTTAAGCAGAATATTTTGTCCTTGTCTTCTCTTACAAAAGTGATTCCATTCCGCTCTCAAATAGAGACTGAAGGCATGAAATTTACGTTCTCAAGGGCAATTTAGAGCCCTAAAAAATTAGTTCAATCTCTAGAAGAGTTATATTTTTTCATTACGTTCATAAAATAGCTACCATGACCACTGCGAAGAGTGACATAAAATAGAAAATTCGTTTAATGGCAACATTACAATGAATTGATTATGAAGACTAAAGCAATTTTACAGAGGTAAATTGAACCACTGAAAGCATTTTTTGTATATTCTGAGGGGAAAAGGTATCACAGAAGCCATCCAAATCTTGGACCATTGTATATAGCATAATCAAGGAATGTTGATATCACGTCCTATATTTTCCATGATAGTAGGTGTAAGGATTGGAGTTTTCTTTGCTTCAAGTAAACCTATTTTAAAACAAGGAAAATTTATGGAAGGTAACTTGACTATCAATTGTTATATACAAAGCGCAAATATACTTATATATTTAAAATAATTTAATACAGGTGATTATTCAAACTATTTAAATAATCCATCCACAATGCAAAATGGCAATAGGAAAAAATCAACTTCTAGAAATGTCAAATGTACCTGAAATTATAAAATACCATGGCACACTGATATAGGTAACAGCAGCCCTGATTGGTGGAGATGTGATGCGTCTACGCTCCTTGAACCATTGCCAGGCCTGTCCGAAGATCACCTGCTTCTCAACTGTCTCCTCCACTTCAGACTCTGTCGTTGGACATTTGAAAAATGGTTGATCGTCGAATTCTAAAAGGTGACTAACAATTGGAATTGAGAAGAATTGAACAAATAATATATTCAAATCACTTCTATCGTAGTAGAATATCATGTTCCTTTAATTCAACTATGAGCTCAGATGACTTCTCTTGTATACTAAATAATTGGGATTGATGAATGTCGGTTTGTGTATATAAACCGATATCCATGGCAGTAATGCTCCATGGACGATTCTATGGAAGTTTGGTGATTGAAATTCCACTATTCAAAGTACATATTTACAATGTAAATCCGTTGCATACGAAGGTTACTAATAATCTTTTCATTCAAATAAGTTCAGTTGTCATGAAAATGAATATTAAAATAAAAAAGCTAGATTAAAATTAGTTTAATCAAATGACTAACCATCTTCGAATGTGCTGGAATTGATTTCAATACAGTTTTTCGTGGGACGAAACCTATCAAATGTTGGACAATTGAGATTATCACTGTCTGAACGAGCTTTCTGATAAGGTGCATTTAGCTGACCCATCTTTGTCGAGGAGAACTGACGCCGACGCAGAGCTTTGCCAGCGCCTTCCCCTGTCACCAGCTGATGGATCTGTGATGACACACTTCCCCGAAGAGAGCCGAAGTGACTACTTCCTTGAGGCGCATTAGAATCAGAGGAAGATGTTGTGCAATGAAAAGGACTCGAATTGGCAGACCGATAATTAATATTTGATAACCTTCTACATCCAATCATCTGCAAGAATAAAATATCTGGTTAGTAAACAGTATATTAATATAATCAACCCAGGGGTGTGCGATAGACTTACCTCCACGTGGTGCACCCTGGTGGGTGTGCGATAGACTTACCTCCACGTGGTGCACCCTGGGAAACGTATACTCATACGGTAAAAAGTCTATTAACCGGAAGTTTGTGTGCGATAGACTTACCTCCACGTGGTGCACCCTGGGCAGCGTATTTTCTTACGGCAAAAAAGTCTATCACTCGGCTTTCGTTATATTCATACGGCAAAAAGTCTATTAACTGGCAGTTAACTACGATAGACTTACCTCCACGTGGTGCACCCTGGGCAACGTACTTTCTTACGGCAAAAATTCTATCACTCGGCATTCGTTTTTCAATAGACTTACCTCCACGTGGTGCACCCTGGGCAACGTATATTCATACGGCAAAGTCTATTAACTGGTAGTTGACTTCTCCGCATACGGCAAAAAAGTCTATTAACCGGCAGTTTTCTTCTCACTTCAAACTACCATGACCCCCCTATATGTCCTACACCCCCCATATTCGACCACTTTCACAGTGCTCACCTCACCTTTTTTCTACCTTTGTGTCTGTATCTTTTATATCTTTGAAACACTCTTCTGTTCCCCCCTCCCCTTCTCGACTTTTTCACTTTGATGCTCCATTCCCACTGTGAAGCCTGAAGTCAACTAAAGGGCTAATGATAACTATCAAAATGCCTGCCATTTGATATAAATAAATACATATAATCAATCCTTAAAGATGAATGCTAAAAATATATTGTAAGTAAGTAAAATTCGCCCAAGTTTAATGGTAGCATTTATCCCATTAAGTCTATTGATCAACAACAAATAAACCATCTTTCGAAATACCTTCTCTGGACAAACATTTTCATCAGTTCCAATGGAGATATTCGAAGCAGTTGACAGTCGACGATGATGCGAAATTGAGGTGGTTGGTAAGCTTGGTTGGAGAGTGGCTTCTGCCTCCTGTTGAATAGTCACCTCAGCAATGCCTTCACTTCCACGTGCCAGCATTCGCACGAAAACTCGCGTTGAACCCTTGCAAGAATAAGGAGCTCCGAACGTTCCAACCAACATGCCGGAGACCGTTTTAGCAGGTGTAAATCGCCAACTTCCTCGACTACACATCTGAAAAGTTAATGAACAATCAAACGGATTTATTTTTCTCCACTTTTCTGGACACATAAATATGACACAGCGCATATAAAGCCATGAAGAGAATTCCCAATCAAAATCAAAATAACTTAAGTAAATAGTCAGGAGGGCGTTATTTTAAATTGACCTATTTTTTGCGAAGATATTGCATTTTTCACTAAATAGCAGATAACAGACGATTATCAAGAATAGCTAACATTTCAATTGTCTTATTTGATTTGTCAGTATGGTAAAAAACCAAAAATAGATTCTGCCGACAATGCCCATAAAATTTACTATTGACACTGATCGAGCAAGTATATGCTAAGGTTCTCCTACAATATTTCAGTTTAGACTGTGTAGTGGGAGTTTTACACCAAAACACTTGACAATAGAGAACAATTAATGCTACTCAGGACAAATATTGAACGCTGATTGGCCAGGAGGCGACCTCTGCACGCACTCGATATATTATTGATAGCAAATTCTGGCGCGTGTGAGGTTCCCCTTGGTCGGCACGCTATAAGATATTAAACCGATTACTATAATAGTTGAAATAGGTAGCTATGACTTAAGACGCGTTTTGAAATTGATTGGTTGCTAATACCCCCCCCCC